TCCTCTACATGATAGGCTATTCAAATCTACCATGGCTAAAGTTCGAACCATCCCCCCCCCATTTTTTGGTTTTTTTGCCATTTTGACCACCTAGGAGTGTAATGAGAACTTTTTGCCTCTATTCAACCTTGACCCCCATGACATCCTCTACATAATAGGCTATTCAAACTGACTACGCCTAAAGTTTGAGTCACCTCCTAACTCATTTCCAGTCTTTACTTCCAATTATTAACAGTCCTTAGTAACCACGGAAAGTCCATCGTGACGTAGAAAAGAGAACAGATGCAAAGTAATGATGACACATATCGAAGGCTTTCGATCGGGTTTGGCACAATGCGCTTCTTTCGAAACTTCTTTCCCATGGGCTTTCCGAGAAATTGTGCAATTAAATCACCAGTTTTCTTGTACATCGGAACAAAAAAGTCGTAGTAGACGGTGCATTCTCCGTGTGCTCGCTTGTCACCCTTATTCTATACAAAAATAAAAGTTACGATACTAATAATAGTAATACATTCTAGGCTTTCTTTCTTTGTCACAATTTTATTAAGGCATTCGCTGTCCTATGTATTATATATATTTTGTTGCAATTGTCTTACTATTGTGTCTGGGAATCGAACAGTGAGTGTTAATTCACTCACTATCGGTAAGATATGACTGCTATTATTTTTGACCCTTCCCATTCTTCAATAATAAGTGCACCCATTCACTTCGACCAAAAAGCTGCAACCCGAGATGTAATAACGGCGAAGTAATCGGGTACCCCGGCGTTGGCAAACATGCTGGACGCACCGCAGTATTTAGGCAGTTTCATAAGAATGAGGAATGCATTATTATACTGCACTCTAATGCTGCTACGAAAACGGTCACTCATTCATGGACTGACCGCGGCAAGTGCAACTTAATCTCGCAGATTTATTGATCCGCGCAGCTATTACTTAACCACGAGTTCCTCTTCTCTACGACTATCGCCGTAGGCGATGAAGCACACTATTTAAACCCTCGGCACAATGTCGTTGGCCATCAAGCATGAATCGGCCATCGAGCATTGTGAGTATCAAATACCATAGTATTTGATACTCACAATGCTCGATGAATTTATACTATCCTAGCATTGCTCTGCGCTTCTCATGCGTGGGCGTCTAGTGGTGCTTCAGGAGCATTACTAAATATCTATTCCTAATTACGCTAAAATTATATCATTGTGACTTGGGAATATAATCCGACGCTCCGCTCAACCCATTGGGGAAAATTGCGTGATGCTATGAATATTGTACTAGTGAGTGAGGCTGTGCGGTTGGTTAAGTAAAGTTATAAATTTATTTTGGTAGATAAATAGATACTTAGATGCGTTCATAATGGCTTAAAGAGGATAATCTCAAGATTTTATTATCTTTAATGTACTATAGTTTTAGAATGTATAAAATCTGTCTCTATTTTTATCTTAAGTTATATAAGTTTAATTTTTAAGTCTTATTATAACAATATTATAATTACTCGTACAAATATTTTAGAAACAACTCCTTTTAATAAAATTGTTTTTAATCTATTTTTCTTTTATACTTTTTAAGAAAATGTCTGCTGCAAATTATTGAGTTCTTCTTTCGATTCCAACTAACCCGTCCAATTAACCTTAACCATTTTTTCTAATTATAGAATCCGGAATCCGGATCTATATGACAAACTGCAAAGTAAAATTACATTAATTTAGTCATTGCGCGCTGTCGCTATCGCAAGCAATCGAATGAGAAGTAAGAGAGCGGGGGGGGGGGGGGGCAGTGTTTCTTGCTTTCAACAAACAGTATGTGCAAGTATGTGTTTGCGAAAGATGGTGACTGAAAGATGGTGTGTTTTTTTAACTGAAATGCAAGGTGGATATCTTTGCTGTGGGATAGTAGGAATGATGTAGCTCATTATCACCAAAAATATTGACCTGAACGTACTAAGTACGAAGTAAGAAAATTCAATATTAAATAGGAAGCAATTGTTCAGCTCAAAAATATATTAAATAGCAATGGCGGCATTGCATTATAAATTTGGTCTTATTAAACAATTTGTAAAAGCTCTTAATCATGAGGCCAAAGCTTTCAAATATTTGAAGAGTTTTTTTCCAAAGCTTTCAGATTTGAAAATTAAAGCTGGAATCTTTATAGGCCCTCTAATAAAAAAAATATGGATTGTGATATTTTCCCGCGGTTACTTAGCGATGAGGAGAAAAAAGACTTGAACAGTGTTAAGGCAGTAGTTCATGGTTTCCTTGGAAACCATAGAGGTGAAAATTATGAAGAGCTGATTACTGACATAATTTCGAATTTTCGTATCATGGAAAGTAGAATGTCTTTAAAGATGCACATGTTACATTCCCATTTGGATAAATTTAAGGATAATATGGGAGCTTATTCGGAAGAACACGGGGAACGCTTCCATTAAGACATAATGGAATTTGAGAGACGTTACCTAGGCCAGTACACCGAAAGCATGATGGGGGATTATGTTTGGGAGTTAATAAGAGGAACTTCTGCTGAACATAACAGGAAAAGCCAATTATTTCATTTTAAACATTTGGGCTCTATTTTATGACCAATAAATCATAAATGGACGTTCGTTATCTTTTAATAAATCATTTCTATGTACAGACTTTATGTAATTTTTTTTTTGCAATTTTTTCACACAATATTAAATACAGAACCAGTTTTTGTCTCTATTCTTATTTCTAGCTATAAATACAAAAATAAGGTATATATGTCCCATGCGCAAAAATGCTGTAGACCGGTGTTACAAACATTCAAGATAAATATCGACATTAATTTTGATATGTATTTGCCAAATTCATGCAAATTATCAACAACGTGACTTTTTTCTTTGCAAAATATCAAAATTAACAAAATAATTGAAAACTTTCTATATTGTAAACAGTATATATATAAAATTATTTCTATTCTTAACACCACAGTTATTCACAGAACAAGTAACCATTTTGGAAAAAAGTTACTTACTAAGAATAACCACTATTACACTCTAAAAAATTACAAAATATCTAGGAGCTGTTTCTTACGTGTCGGACTTGTGCCGATCTGTCACTCATAATCGGTTACAAAGTCATGAGATTTGGTATCCTTTTCTATTTTGCATTTTTGCCTTTTTTTTTTTTGCTGATGGAAAATCATCAAATGACGCCTTTCGCTCTGGGTGGAGCGGAAGGGAGTGTCAGACTTTTACTGACTAAAAACCATCCGTGTTCCTTCAGTGCCCTTACGTTCCGGAACCGCGGTATCTCTTTCGAACAGCCCGCAGCCCCGGCAGGCGTCGGCCCTTGCGGGCCCCTTCACGCTGCTGACAGCTCTTTGAGGCGCGCGTGGAACAAAACGCGCCGTCGACACGGCCTGTCGTCGTTAGACGGACGGACGGCGAGCTACCCATTGCTCGCCGTCCACAGGCCCGCGCCTACGGTGGCCGGGGGCCACGACGTAGCCCCCGACGCCCGGGGCGTCTCCCGCGGCGGCCGGGAAGGAAAGCTGCTGCTCTCTCCTTCTCCCGCTCCGCCACCTCCTTCGCTAGCATCACTGCTTCGCAGAAGGTGGTGACGGCATCCCATTCCGTCTCGCTCCGGACCATGGCTTCAACCAGGGCCGGACGCGAGAGGTCGCCGCCGCCTATCGCCGCTACGAGGACACGGCGGTGCCCCGCCCAGGCAGGGCACACCTCCACGGTGTGCTCCACCGTGTCCTCCGGTCGATCCTCGCAGTGGGAGCACCCGGGCGTTTCCTCCCGCCCGATTCGGTGCAGGAACCTCCCGAACACACCGTGTCCGGTGAGGACCTGCGTCAGGCGGAAGGTGAGGACGCCGTGGCGTCTCTCAAGCCACTCCTCAAAGAGGGGTCTTATCGCCGCTATAGTGGCGTGCCCATGCATTTTTGCCTTAAGGAATTATTTTTCCCCTGCACACTATATTGGTCTATAATAGAGATGTTACGAAGGTTCGATTCCGATTCCGAAAGTTCGGAACTTCCGATTGATTTTGCACCTCCGATTCCGATTTCGGTTCCGTTAATTTTAATCGGAAGTTATATCGGAGGTCTATGCACAGTGGCGGCGGCGGCCGCAATCCAATCAACGAGTACAAACAAGTTAATACTTGTCACCCTCGAACCACCCTCCTCCCGTGCCTTCTGTCGATTAATCATTAACTTGACTAACGTGATGTTTTGTTTCGTATTTGGCAATTGACATGTTATGCGTTTGCACTTCATTCATACTTATCCGAGTTTTTGATTAGTTTTAGTACTTTTATATTAGACGTATGACAAACTTATTTGAAGTAGACAATGAAGACAAAATCAAGTGTCATATGGAATTATTTCAATGGGGAATGGCATGTCATTTTGACAAAAATCCCAAAGAAATTAAAGAAAAAAAAGTTTCTGGGTATACGGCAAAGTGTAAACTATGTCAGAAGATATATTCACAAAAAGGGACGTACGACTACTTCGTTTAAAAGTCATTAAAGTCTGTGCATGCCACTGAAATCGAAGAATTCACAAAATTAGAAACTGAAAAAAAAATACAGTGCAGCCTTCGACTTCAACGCCTGTACAAGAGGTAAAAAAACAAATTACTCTCAAAGACACTTTGATGAAGAATCAAAAATGGTGTAGTTCTAACCCTAAATCAATCGAAATAGATAAATTGATTTCTGAAATGATTGCTTTGCGAGATCATTTCATAGCACAAAATTATTAGTTAAGGGGAAGACATTTTTTTACCGAATATATTTGTGGTAAGTTATACACAAAATTAGCAGAAAATATAAAGGTTTTGTTAAAACAATTTGAGAAAATCTCATTTACAACGGATATTTGAGCGACCCAAGTTCGAATGTATCGTTATTAAGTCTAACAGCGCACGGAATAAATGAAGATTTCAAGAGGATAAAAGTTATTTTAAAATGTCACACATTTCATGGAAAACATACAGGAAACCTAATCCAAGAAAAAATTGATGAAATGTTAATGGAATGGGGCATAACAAATGAGAAAATTCATTGTTTTATTCGAGATTCTGGATCTAATATGATACGAGCAATGAGATTCGCCGCTATACCTGATGTCAATTGTACGGTACTTCAGTTACAACTATGTGTGCGATCTTTGTTAGATTATGATGAACAAATCAAAAACTTAATAACGAAATGCAAAAAGAATTTAACGCATTGTAATCACTCCCAAATTGCTTAAACGGAACTGCATAAAATACAAAAGGAACAACTTAACCAAGATGTTTTAGGTGTGGTGCAGGAGTGTAATACGCGGTAAGTTTTAAAATTATATTTTTTTTGTTTTTATCACACTGATATGTATCTCTATTCCCTACCTATCCTGGGTTTCTTGCTGGTTCTTCCCAGGACAGAGGTATTTTCCGAACCAGTGGTAAATAAAAAATGACTTTCAATAAGTATTATGTAATAATCAATAATGAATCATTCTATTCTATTCTATCCGTTTGTTACACCTCGTAGCCAAACCACTGAATCAATTTTGATAAAACTTGGTTTTAAACATGCATTCGCATTAAATAGTCAATTTATAATTAAATTTGATATATAATTTACTTATATTTTATTTAAAAGAGTTAAGAATTAAATTAACTATCTTGTGTAATAAATAATCGCGCAATCCTCTCAAATTACTACCATTATTATTTTAGTCAATTTAGCTCTTATGGCTCAATAGTAAAACATTGTTATTCTTATTTAATTTTACTTTTTTATAGGTGAAATAGCACATTTTATATGTTGGAACGAATGATTAAAATACAGGATTAACTTTGTTTGTACGCAAGTAAACACAGTACCCCAGAAATATCTCCCGAAGAATGGTTGCAGCTCAAGAAACTAGTTACCATACTTCATCCTTTTGAGGAGATTACAGGGAACATGAGCGACATACTTGTGTTACACAAGTATCTCATCAGTAATTCTGTTTATACATACATTAAAGCATTTGTTACAAATAGAAGACAATAAGCCAGACACAAATGAAATATTTAAAACTGTAATAAAATGTACTATCGACCAACTGAATTCAAGATTTTGAGACCTTCATTCTAATAAATTGTTTGCTAATAATAGCTACATATCTGGATCCTCGTTACAAAGGAAAATTTTTCAGCGAAGTAATTAAGAAAGAGGTTGAGTCCGAATTGATGAGTTTATTTAATGGTGGAAATAAATCTGCAAATGTGGTTAAAAATATTGACGTTCCTGCAGAAAAACGGGCAACTTTGGCATCACCAGCAGTTGGTCAATCTGCCTATAATTGTAGCAATGTCCAAGCGCTCTAATCAAATATATTATTGAGTAGTGAAGTGATGATGATGATAATAATACATCCAACGAACATGCATTTTTGGACAATTCTTTTATATTATAGAGTTTACTTAATGAGTACCAGAGAGAAAAACGGATTTCTATCAGTAACGATCCTTTATTATGGTGGAAAGTGAATAAAAAATTTCAATCCTTTAACTTGATTGTCCGCCAATATTTATCGTCTCCACCAAACTCAGTAGCAAGCGAACAACTTTTCAGTGGTGCTGGCCTTATCTATAACCCGTTGAGAAATAGATTGGATGGAGATAAAGCTGCGAATCTTTTGTTTATTAAATATAATTTGTTTCTTTTGGAGTCACTTCATTTTATTTAACTTTTTTTTACTTAACTTTACTGCTCGTATGTACTGTTTAAGATTTCAATTGTTTTTATTTTTAATACCTAGTTATACACCTACTTGTATTATTTTTTGAACTGATAATAAGAATATAACTAATGAATAATGTGTATAATTTTCTACCTACTTCAAAAAGGAGGAGGTATGTTTTTTTATGTGTTACCTCATAACTATTTTCTGGTTGAACTGATTTCAATGATTCTCTTTTTATTTGAAAGCTGGTGCATCTCTTGTGTCATATAAATTTGATCAATGTCAGCCCAATAATTTTTTGAACTATTCTTAATAATTTAAATTAAGTCGGTTATACAAAATTTTTAATTATATTATATTTTATTAGACCTGTCCTTAACACATCTCTCTTCTGCCTCCACCTTCGGTTCCGGTTCCGATTCCGATTTCGGTTCCGATAAACAAAATTTAAAAACTCCGCTTCCGAATTCGGTTCCGATATAACCACTTCCGTAACTTCCCTAGTCCATACGCCAGTGTATTCTAAGTCTATGGTTTAAGCATTGGATTGCATACTAAGTATCACGGAATTTAATCCATCGACTAATAAAAATTTAAATTATGTGAATAATTATTATGCTGTTGTTGTGAACCAATGTTAGCAATATGAGCTAGATTGCCCTTTACTTACTAAAGTACTAAAAAACGAGATTAACCACTGTAAAAGTGCTTCTTCATCTACCTATCACGAAAAGGACTAAGATGGCAACACTAGACGGGCGTAGTGGAAAACAGTGTGACTATATGTGACAATTTCTCCCGTTTTGTCAGAATTTGCCCATGATTTGATTACCGGTGGATTAATTTGATGTTAGAAAATTTGGCGATATTTTACTGTAAAATTCTAAAAAATAGGACATTTAAGTTCTATTTATTCAAGAAAAGAAGTATTAAATATCTCTAAATGAAAAGAAATATAATAACTAACTCCGATTAAATAGTTCAGCGCTCTCAAATCTACTTTATTTTTGCGCATACACAATTGTTATGGTACTACATAATTGTTAAATCACTAGAGTTAGTCAACATTTCAACCAGTTTTTGCTAACATGGTCAACGAGCTTACTAGTATGCTATTTTTAAATACTTCGTGTCTTATAGTCAGACAATCAATTCTTTGTATTAGGTCTTTTTTCAGTAGAAATTAAAGATTGTTGGGATAACGACTGGTGAATTTTATTACATAACTAGCTGTTCCCCGCGACTTCGCCAGCGTGTAATTTAGGGTATTAACTATGTTGTGCGGAACCCTAATTATTTTCTATAATATAAGTAGCCTTAGTTACATTTTATAACATCAGCTATCTGCCAGTGAAAGTCCCATCGAAATTGGTCCAGCCGTTTCAGAGATTAGCCGGAACAAACAGACAGACAGACAGACAGACGGACAGACAGACAGACAAAATGATAAAACTTGTGTTCTTGTTATAAGTACCATATAAACTGTCATATGCATTTAGTAAAAAGCTGTTATTTTGACATTATAGACACTTCAATTTTATTTATTTGTATAGACTATTTAGCCTGTGCTTGACCACAATCCGACCTGATGGTAAGTGATGATGAATCCCTGGATGGTAAATCACTCTATCTTATCGTAACAAAAGCCTATCCACACTTACCTTGAAGACGCCATGGTTGTATTTGGCCGGAAAGACAAACGACGGCAAAGTATTCTACTCTTTACTTAGTCCACTACTGTTAGTATGTTTCGTAAGATTACCATTATTTCGGCAGTTTTATTTCTTCTTGATAATATTTTATGTTATTTTTCAATACTTCGTATTTTTTTCCTATAGTCGAAATGGGTGAAATGTATTACGAATCACGTGTAAAAATATGGAGCTGGTTAGCGTTTTTGATTTGCTGTACCTACAAAAACTATGAAACACTGTAAAATACGAACTTCAATAATTCTTTGATACAATATATCAAAATTCATTTTCGTTAGAGAAGTGTAATATATCATTAAAGTAAGTGCTGAGTTAGTAATCTAAATTATCACGTTGTGTATATATGTTTTTAATTATAACCACATGGAAGTAAGTTTTAATGTTTAGTTTAAACCATCATTAAACGAAACATGTAACCTATTATGTGAATAGAACATTATTTCACCTGGATTATGTGTACCTCAATTAAATTAACAAAAAAAAAATATTTATAGCAATTATTCTGCTAAACAAACTATGGTTGAATTTTTAATTACTACCTGGCCACACTGGTAGGAAATAAAAGTGACATTTTTTGGCCTAAAGGTCTAGATGCCAGGCCATAAACTCCAAAAAAAAAGTGACATTTTATTCTGTGGCGAGTGGCGACAGACGTCAGGTGGAGATGTCTAGTTTGTGTTGTAAAAATAATTAATTTTACGACGTTTTGTGCAACAATTATGTGAATAATGAGATGAAAGTGTAAATAAATCTTAGTTTAGTGCTCGCAAGTGATTATGGCGCATAGTGGTGGTGTTTTAAGTTCGGATATATCTCGAAGGAATCCACAAGATGAGTACGAGCTGGTGCAACGGATTGGTTCGGGCACCTATGGCGATGTATACAAGGTAGGGGGCCTTTCTAAACTTTACTTTACCACTTCATCGCGTCGTTAATAATTGTATTATTTTGGTACGTCTCTGATTCATGCAAGTCGCGGTCGAATAGTAACTGTTGTCGGGTGCATTGCATGAATACGAAATTGGTTGTTCTGATGTCAGTTTAGCTGAAACAGTTTTCTTTATATGATGGTAATACAATTATTTTTTCAAAAAACAAAACACTTGATTCTCACAGTCGCTTTATATCCTAAGGTAGGAACACACCCATGTGTTTATATCCATGGACTTGGACAAAGCAATCGTCTTAAGGTGTCGCACATACTACACGCAGTACATTTCTAGCGTCGAATTATAAAATAAAAATAAAAGTTAATATCCTTGAAATTGAAACAATAGATGTATAAATTTTACAGACCTGTATTAACACTAATCAAAGAGGAGTTAATTCTATGATCTCATTGTGTACTTTTTTGCAAGCCTAATGCTTGTTATGGGTACCTATACAATGATTCACAACACATTTAAACTACTTAATTTCAGGTAATTTTTCTTTAGAAATCTGAAAATAATATTTTAATAGTAGTAATGGGTAAGAGAATGAAATAGATATACATAATATTTACTGCTATGAAGGTATTGTTTTTAAGTAATAATAATTTTCCTGTAAAGTTTCAGATTAGAATACTATATTAAATATCCCAATCATCTGTTTGATTGGGGATGAGTAGAATTTATAATACATCAATATACTTAGCTAGATTTATACATTTTCTATAATATGTATGGTGTCAAGAATTTGGGACACATTAAATTGATTAATGGTCATCTATGAAACACATGCACTCTCTCCCACATTTGGAATGTTGCATTACATTTTTGTAAACAATCTTATTTGTAGTTATCCATTAAGTCTAATATATTTAATTTTCTGATGAAAAAAAGCTAGTAATTGGGGAATAAGAAATGTTTTTAGCTCTCCTGTATTATAAAAACTTCAGGTTTGCCCCTTTGCAGCGTCAACGACGAAATCTTCTCCGCCTCCTTCTAAAAGAGTACAAAAATTCATTATTATTATTATCTGGTAATATATATATATCTGTGTTGATGTTTTATATTATCCAAGTTCACACTAAGAATACACTAAATTGGATTGTCTTTACACCATTTGTCCAGTTTGTTTTTAAAACTAATTACAGAGGGAGCATCTACCATGTCTTGAGGCAACTTGTTCCATATATTTATGATTCTGTTGTTTAGTGTGTGATGACCCACAGTGTATGAGCTGGTGTGGACCAATCTCATATAGTTAGGATGTCTAGGTCGGTGGATACTGCTGATGTTAAAAATATGTGGTAGCTCTTTGGAATTATATTTATGTGTCAATATTTTGTAGGTCTCAATAAGGTCTCTGGTGCGGCGAGATTTCAACATTGTTAGATTCAATATTTTTAATCTCTCTTCGTACAGCTTTTTGCGAAGGCGTAATGGAATTTTTGTGGCTTTTTTTTGTACACTCTCCAGCAAATCTACATCCTTAAGAAAATAGGGATTCCAAATTTGAAATCCATACTCTATCAGCGGTCGGAAGTATGTTTTATAAACCTTGAGATATGTATCCAGAGTCAGATGTTGAAACAATTGTCTGATTGCATACAAAATGCTGTTTGCCTTTTTGACAATACTATGGATATGGTCAGCCCACTTGAGGTCGGATAATATTAAGACACCTAAATCCTTGTGTGAGTTAACTGACTGTACTGTTGAATTTTCAATTTTATACATTTTTCTGGGATTGTTTTGACCTAGATGCAAAACTGTGCACTTAGAAGGATTAAGTTAAAGATTAAGTTAAGGATTAAGTAACCCAATTTTTTGTCCACTTCTGTATACGCTCTAAGTCTTCTCTTAAGGTTCCCTGGTTCCATAGAGGATTTCCGAAGTATTTCACATCATCAGCAAAGAAACAGGCTTCTGAGTGTATTATACAACTCGGATCAGCAACGAAAATGCCAAAGAGGGTAGGCGCGAGTACAGATCCTTGTGGCACTCCACTGAAGACGTCTTTAGGTTGCGAATATACATTTCCAACTCTTACTTGAAAGGTTCTTCCACTCAGATAATTTTTGATCCATTTCAGAAGGTTGCCTCGGATATCCAGATGTTCCAATTTTCAACCAAAAGACGTCTGTGTGGTACCTTGTCAAAGGCCCGTTCAAAGTCCAGGTAGAATACATCCAAAGGATTATGTTTATCAAATTCCTCAGCCCATCTGTGGTAGCAGGAAAGAAGGTTAGTTGTAGTTGAGCGCCGTTCCACAAAGCCATGCTGGTTATCCGGAATAATTTGCTCATCTGCTAGGTACTTTTTTACATATAATCTTTTCCATACATTTGCAAACAATACTAGTTAAGCTGATTGGCCTGTAGTTAGCTGGGCCTATCACCCTTTTTAAAAACAGGTGTTACTATGGCATGTCTCCAGTCTTTTGGTACCTCACCTGAAGCATATGATTCATTCATAATATTGACCTTGATCATAATAATGCCTATCATTAGTAAACACTTATGGTATGAATCTAAGGATAAACCTGATACCAGTTGTATCAAAATTTATTAGGAGTAAAGATTTTTCACAAAAGAAACAAAAACACACATTGAATTAAATAATCATATATTGATTATAAGTTATTACATACAATTAATACTCCTAGGAGCTAAGCTAGCCAAATAATTCAAATCAAATAAGAGTCAGTCGATTCGATTCAAAACGATTTCAGTTTTTATAAATTTTCTGCCCCTATAGAAGTCGCAAGGTTGCTCAGTGAGCTATAGACAAGACTATGCTCGGGGTTTCTCTGCGTGATATACTTAGAAATGAGGATATCTGCAGTAGAACCAGAGTGACCGACATAGCCCAATAGATTAGTAAGCTGAAGTGGCAATGAGCCGGCCATAGAGCTAGAAGAACCGACGACCGATAGGGAAAAAAGGTTATTTAGTATTGGCGGACAAAGTGTAGGGCGACCTACCACTAGATGGAGTGACAACCTGGTAAGACATGCAGGAAGGCAATGGATTCATTGGGGGAGGCCTATTTTCAACAGTGGACTTGTGAAGGGCTGTAATGATGATGATGAAAGACAATAGTGACAAGTCTGATAGCCTTTCCTGTCCCATAGAAGTCCTTACAACTTTTGCTTATACATGTTCCGGGTTCCTGTAGCCCAGGTGCCCTGTATCCTTGATACGGCTGATACGGCGGTAACTACTGCCCTGCCTGATACCCAATCAGTTTTATGTAAAGACCATGAAATACCATCAAGCATAAAATCCTTCAGGGATAATTTTTATATTTGATATCTATGTAATTGTGTAATTATTGAATTTTTTCAAGGGTTAATAGACAAAAATTCTATATTTCAATAAAAAAAACCTAAGTAATTTTACCTATACGTTTTTAGCTGACTCCAAAAAATAGTAATATTCTTAATCTATACAAATGAGTAAAATTTAAGCGTCTGTTTGTAATGTCAAAATAACAGCTTTTTACTAAATGCATATGAAGGTATTTACGGTACTAATAACAAAAAAAAACAATTTTTAAAATTTTTGTCTGTCTGTCTGTTTGTTCCTGCTAATATCCGAAACGGCTGGACCGATTTTGATGGGAATTTCACTGGCAGATAGCTGATGTTATAAGGAGTGACTTAGGCTATTTTTGTTTTAGTAAAAGAATTAGAGTACTGCGCAAAAAACCCATTAAGTAAATCAAATCGTAACAAATTCCACGTGGCCGAAGTCACGGGGAACAGCTAGTTCAACTATATGTTCTTTTTTTTATGTATGTTACAGAAAATTCTACACCAACTGTGAACCGGTTTTAATTATTCTTGTATTATTGAAAAAGTTTAAATAATAATAAAAAGCCAACTTTAAAGATCTAAAAGGAATAAAATAATTTACCCCTGAAGTAGGGGCTTGATTTTTTCTGTACACTATGTCTTAGCAACTACTTCAGAAGCTCCAACTTTAGTTTTTTGAAATTGGCTTTTACTTTTTATTAAAAGTTTAATTTTAATCCTTGTCATTGTTGTAATAATTATTACATTAGAATAGAATGTCTGTCAGAAAACCTGTAGGAAATAGAGTGGTGGATTAGCTTATCGCTGTATCACACAACATTTGGCCTAAATAATTTCAAATTACCTATTTTATAGATACATAGGTTCAATTGTATTATATTGCTCTAAGAGTGAAGCAGTGTTTCCGAGTCAATTGGCTAAAATAGTGTAATAATTACTGACATCATTGAAACAATGCATATTATTTTACAATTGAAAATACAAGGCCTTGCCACTGGCATTTCCTGACAAGCATAATAGTGTTTTAGTAGAGAATAAACACAAGTATATTTTGTGTTTTAAACATGATGAGGTAATTAATACATGCATACGTAGTAGCGCCATGCTGCACCTATATTATGGTTGTGGAACGAATGAGTCTGCAAATGAGTAGGCTCAAACAGGGTAGGACGACACTCTCGCAGAATATCAGTATAAAATAGCAGCTTAATACTGCTGTGCTGCGTATGATGAGTATAGGGAACTAGAGACCCAGGAGTGATAATGCATCTGCATTTTGATTCTTAATTGATTATTAATGTAGATGTCTATGGGTCACAGCCGTCCACTTATGATCTGATGGACTGTATCCCCATTTGTCACCCTTATTCTATAAAAAAAATCCAAATACGTATTGATCAGGTGATATATATGTATATAGTGCTGCTGATTGTCATGTGGAATGTCTGAATGGCCATATAGAGGCGGCGTAAGAGAATCCACTTCCCCATATTATTGAGTGGGTGTTGTAACAGCCAATAGAGTTAAATAAAACAGCAGATGAACAGCAGCATCTTTCTAATTTTACCCAAATAGCCCAGACAGTGGCAATTTTTAGGTTTATGTTTATATAATATACATATGAATGTATTCCATGTTTCTTTGA